GTGCTTTTTGACACCTTCTCTAGCTCTGTGCTCTCCACAACTTGTCTCCAAATTGATGCTAAAAAGGAGCAAAGGCAGCGAGATTTTTTTCCTCAGGCTCAGACCAACGTGAAGGGAGAGTGTTGTCTCTAATACAGGTAATTCTTTGTGTGTGAGCAGTTGAGGTGATTGATACCAATTTGTGTGTTCAGTTCCGTTTCACAGACCTGATGCATGAGAAGGCTGATATGAAGGAGAGGCTGGAGGAGTTAGAGCATCGCTGCATACAGCTCTCTGGTGAAACAGACACCATTGGTATGTTTAGGCAACACCAGCACAAGCTAAAGCTTCCTCAGGGTGTTAGTTATTTGGGGAGGAGGAATTCCCCAGCAGCTTTTGGAGCTGGAGCCCTTCAGCTACCAAGTAGCTCATGTCTCTGTTGCTGACTGACTAGGCTGGATCTCCAGTCCATGGTTGGATTTGCTGGATGCCCATGCCCTGTAGTTCTATGCTTACTGTAAGGCTTGTACCCTAATCTTGCTAACACTCCTTATGCTTCCTTGCATTCCAGGGGAATACATCGCACTGTACCAGAGTCAAAGGGCTATCCTTAAACAACGACACCAGGAAAAGGAGGAGTATATCAGCAGATTGGCTCAGGATAAGGAAGAGATGAAGGCAAGGAATCTTTTTCTGTAGCACAACTCTAAGCAAGGCAGGCCTGGAGAGTGCTTGCACAGTCCAAATCTGTGTGTGTTCTTCTTCAGCTGGCTTTAACTTGGAAGTTGCTAATTCTGTGACAGAGGCAGGACTACAAACTGCAGTAGTGTCTGTGTGCATGTTTCATAGGCTTTCCTTTCCTTTGGTGCAGGTGAAACTACTGGAACTGCAGGATTTAGTGATGCGTCTGGTAAGGGAAAGAAACGAATGGTACAGCAAGTATGTAGCAGCTGCTCAAAACCCAGAGCTGTTGGTGAGCCAGGGTGAAGGTGTACTGCCAGTGGAGAGGCGCATTGAACTGAATGCTACTGATGGAGAAGGTAAGGTGCAGCCAGGACAAGCTGGGTAAAATGGAATAACCCAAGGTCCCAGAGCTGAGCTTCCTGCCTTGTCTGTGTTTCTGACAGGGCTACGAGATGTGAATTTATCAGATGAAATGGAACAAGAGGCTGCGGTTCTTCATCAATCCGGTTTCTCCCCTACTGACACTAAAGCTGCTCAGCCAAGCCACGAGGACCCCACTGCAAAGCAAATCATGCAGCTTCTCAGAGAAATCCAGAACCCACAGGAGAGGCTGAGCTCCCTGCTGGAAAACCCCTGCATTCCCTTCTTCTACCGTGCTGATGAGAACGATGAGGTCAAAATCATGGTAGTTTAAGAGGTGCTAAATCTTACAGCAATTTTCTATGAGCCTGAAAGGACTTAACTGACTTGTACGTGCCCATACCTCTGCTCAGTGCCCTTGGTCAGAACAGATGCTTAAAGACATCAGGAAAGAGGGATTGCATCAGACAGAACTTGAGCATCAGCCCTCATCTTCCCCTTCTGTTACTTGGTGTGCTTGGAGCTCAAACTAACCTTGGGAGGCAGCTGGTGCTGGTGCTTGGCCGGGGAAAGGGGCTTCCATGACTTGGGGCAAATGACTGAATGCCTTGTGCTGGATTCTGGTGCCAGCAGCCAGCTTCACAGCAGCGGTTCTGATCCATCACTCATGACTGTCATCAGCCTAGTCCCTTCCAGGGCTCCCAAAGTAACTAACTTATTCTGGTAATGAACTCTTCGGACTTTAAACAGGTCATTTCTGTTTCATACTATGTATCTTAAACTTCCCTCTCTTCTGCAGCCTGCCTCTTGCAACTGTATTTGAAACCAGCCTTGAACAGCCAACAGGTAGAGGCTCCCGGCTGTTCCCAGTGCTAGGGTGAGGACCCAGGGTTGCCTTTTGAGTCTTTTTGGTTACTTGACAAAGCTTTATGTGATTCTTGGGAGTGGGGTGGAAATGTAACTGCACTTTGAAGGATGTGTTTCACTTGTATGTGTCTGAAGGTTTTATTTATTTTAAAAATGGGAGAAATAAGTAAAAGGAAACCACTTAATAAACATGCTTTGTTTTGAATTTCTGGACTCCAGGAGTTCTAGTTCTCCATCCCTTAATTTTCCTTTTCTCCCAGTTGGGTAAGGAGTGCATTAAGTGTGTGGAATCCTCCTGTGGCCCTTGTTTAAGTTCCTGGGACACACATCAACAACAGTAGGATCACTGGGCACTTGAAGCCATAGCCCTAGTTCTAAGGAGCAGTAAAACATGGAGAAGGAGAGCGACCCATGAAGCTGCAGCAAAGCCAAGCCCCTGGGTGTGCAAGTGAATATCCTGCAACTGCATTTGCCTCCAAGGCAGGAACTGCCTGGCTTTAGGCAGGTTAGTTCCAGCACTGGAGTTTCAAGGAATATTGCAGGGGAGGTTTAAGGGACCCACCCTCACTGCATGCACCTGGACAAGCACACACCATGTCCCTGTTAAACTCTCAATTATTTGCAAGCATGGGAACAGAGTTTTTGGGGTTGTCAGCAACAGAGACCGATCTTTTCTTGTGCCCAGCATGGTACAGGCAGCTTGGCTTCTACTGCTAGAAGCAGGCTGGGGTTTCTTTTCCCAAGTGGTTCATCTGGATGTTTCCATACACAACTGAAAAAGCATTCACAGAACATCCCACCAGGGGAAGATGGATGCTGCTTTCTGAACTCCCTTCATGTGAATGGCAGGAGTGGTGCCTGTTACTAGCATGACACAAGTGATGTGGGCTCCAGAGTCCTGGCTGTGGGTCTGTGTTCATAGTGTGTTTGTGTAGAATGCTGTGTATTCGTTGGAGAGGGACTGAGCCTCCTGCAGTGTGAGGCCTGCTCAGGCTATTCATAAATCTGTACCATAACTAACAGGAGTAGGGCATGACTTAATACAGAGCATTATTGTAAATGGAATAACTATTTATTGGGTGTTCTAGTCTAGTAGGGGGAAGGAGACAAGACCAGTGAAGAAGGGCTGTGGTCTCTTGCAGAGGTGATTTAATCATGTTAGCAGTTTGCTTTCTGAATAAACTTCCTCAGATGAGCACTGACCAGATGTATTTCTTCTGCACAGATCTTAAAATTTGGCCAGGAAAAAAGGTGAAGAATGAATTCTTAAAAATACCTGCCCTGGATTGATGCCCCTTTTCACTGGGCTTTCATGAATGTTTTCCTGTAGCCAGAGTGCTGACAAGCCCGAAATGTTTCTCTTGGCCAGCATTTCAGATTGATTCTTTACCCTGTTCTCTTCAGGGGTGCTTCCCTGACCACAGCTTTGCTTGGAGCAGGAACTACTGTTCACCTGACACTCAGTAGCTTTAAATCAGAGCAAGTGAACCGCTTCTGCACCTCTGAGCTGAGGGGAAAGAGAAAATGCTGCTTAAAGGCCATAAACACTGAACAACAGGGAACTGGACACTGGTGGACACAGTGTAGATCAATGGACACAAGCTGCTCTTGTGTGGGAAGGGAAACTGAAATTCCCATCAGAACATACTTAGCCTTTGACAACCAGTAAAGGTTTCTCATATATAAACACAAGGGGTAGATGGAGCAGTTCCAGTGAGGAAAGAAATAGGATGGGGTAGGGCAAGCACTGGTTATTGCCCCATTGCAGAGAAGCTGAAGCTGCAACCCTTAATAAGAGGCAAAAAAGAGAGAGTTTGAACACAGAGAGAAAGGAATCACTAGAATTCCCTCAATCCACACCAGTATCTACTGTGAATAAAATCAAGAGGAGTTTTAGCTTATTACTAAAGTCTAAGCCAGGGAGATTTCACAAGTACCACAGCAGCTGTAGCCAGGAGCACTCATGGCCAAATCGGGCATCAGTATTACACTGATTTAAGTCAGCAACCCCAAAGCTCTTCCTGCAGATGAAGTGCTGGAGCCCCAGGACACAGGGCCTTAAGGAACCCATTGCAACTGTTGGGATGGCAGCAGTAAGTTCCGGAATTATGGAGAAACATGATTGCTACTGTGAGAAGCAGCAACCATGGTCCGAGACACGCAGCGCTCACTCTTCTGGCATGAGAGAGCAGGAACAGGTTTACCCAGTCTGTACCAGGGGAGAAATCCCACTTCAGCCTAAAGCCAGCTCCTAATGGGAAGTTGCTTATGTGTGTTAGACTGTGGTTAGGCTGTACTTCAGGTACAGGCCCAAAAGACACCGCTAAACAGAGAAACTACAACTCAACACCTGGTCACTGTGCTACACAAACAGCCTTGGCAAAAACACCTTTGTAAGAACCAAGCAATTGTGTGCAAAAGTCCCACCTCCTGTATGTCCAGTCACTGCAGCACCTCCATGCATTTTCCTTTATAACAACTTCCATGTCTGACAAGGTGTTTCACTACTGCAGCTCCTCAGTAGTTGATGCAGATCTGCTCCACCTTCCCTACCAGTGATAGCACCTGCTTGCATGTACAGCTTTTTAAGCTCTATGAGATGGAAAAGATGAGGTTATAATTAAACACGATTTGAAAATCACCCAGAGAAAGAGCAAGAGAAAGAGAGATGGTTTTATTCTAGTCATGGAGACCTTCATTATACAGAAATGATAGTTTATTTCATCCAATAAACAAGAGTGACAGGTAGATCACAAACTGCATCACAGCTACTACCAGCACTGAGACAGTTCACCCACAAGTCTGGGGTAATACAATAACCCAACTGCACACAGCAGAGAATTTAACAATCGGCTCAAAAACTCAACATTGGGATTTGGTTAGCTTTTTGGATGTAAGTGTATATATATATGTATATAGATTTTCCCTACTTAAGTATTTCCTAAAATCCACATGGAAGCACAAATGGCTTTAAACACCTGGACATATATAGATTTTTCATCTTATATATATATTTATAGATATTTATAACAGTAAAGATATGTTTCTCATTACTACAATATACTTGTTTAACTCCTTTAAGCAGCTGGGAAGAAAAAAAAATAATGAAGAAACCAGTTTCACTACAATCACATCTGATATGTGTGTGTGTCACAAAATACAAACAAAACAAGCCATGGGTGAGATTCGAGTCAGACCATTCCAGGACAGAACAGCTAAGAGGCAGGCAAAGAGTCTCAGAGGGAGCAGGCCTACATGTCAAATGGTGGTTTTGGGCTCTCCGGGCGGGAGGGACTGGCCTTACCCGGCCGGCTGGAGGGTAAAGACAAGAAAAACAAAGAAAAAAGGGAAAAAGGGAAGGAAGAAGGGGGAGAAGTAGTAAAACAATAGTTAAAATACAGAAAGGAACTGGCATCAGAACAACAGAGGATCCACAACAGAAATTAAGAGCAATAGCACTGAAATGAGAGAAGTTAAAAATCTGAATCAGGCCTGGTTGAAAGCCTGCAACACAAATGGCTCATTCAGCTCTGGTAGAGACATGACATCTGAGATGGACAGGGTTGATAGTTGATATATTTTTAATTCTCAAGTATTTTTTTTAATACATGTAGCATGAAAAGTAAAAACCAAACCTTAAGAAGATGAGTTGCGATCAACAACAGTTACAAGTTTCCCCAAACACGTACCATCCACATGCAAGAAGAAAAGGCTACGGAAGAAGTCACCACAGTACCCAAACCACACTGAAAGATGTGCTTATCCAAAGCAGAAAGATTTTCAACAAAACATTACACAGCAAAACTCCCTGAAAACATTTGGCTGCCCATTTGCAAGGGGGGAGCAGCGGATCTATTCCCCTCTCCCTGCTGGCTTCAGGAAAGTCAGCCAAAAGCGATGATGCAAAAGCACTGCATCACCAGCGGGATTGCCCCAGCTCTTAGGGAGCCGAGTGTGAGCAGGTCCGTGTGCTCCCTGCACGCTGAGGTGTGTGCGCTATCTCAGCCTTCACTCTAGCAGGACTATGCTGATCCATTGAGTTCCCCCCTTCCTTGTTTTCCCTGCCTCACTTGGATAGAAGGTTGATTGCACTGTTCCCAACATGAATTTTTGCACCTTAGAAGTCAAACTAATACACAGGACATTTAATCTGTTCCTAACGGTGTCATATGGTTTGATAGTATTGTTCTTCTAAGTCACACTTTAGTCTTAACTACAAGAAAATAGCTACAGATCAGTCCCGGGTGCTACAGCTAACTGATGCAGGCAGGACACTTATCCAGGCTAGACCAGGCAGATGGACGGACAGCCACCACTTGGACTTAAGGATGTCCCTGCGGCTGATCTCTCCAAGGAGCCCGTGTACTTCAGGGATCCATGCCACTGAATGAAGGCTACTCTATGCTCACAAAGCAATACAGGACGCACGAGTGAAGACGAAGAGCTCAATCACTAGGCTAGTGTTTTACGACACACCAGGAAGGGGCGGTGGGAGGCAGAGATGTGGGATGGATGAGAGGAGTGACTGTGGCTGTGGAAGGGAGGGTGGGATGGGGCAGCCGCCAGCACGGCATTCGTCGCCAGCTGTCTACAGCCTCGAGTTATAAATCTAAGAGGGACGGTTCAGCCGGTCGGATTATGGTAGGTCGAGTAGGTGAGGCAGGGCCCCTTCTGTTGTGAAAAAGCAGAAAACAAAAACAAGAGAACACACACCGTGGTTAGCACAGCAATCGCAGTCACAATCACTCATGCTTCTCCACCTCGCCTGAGCCAGCAAGAGAAGAAAACTCAAGGCACAAAGTACCAGATGCAGCTCCACAAAGGAGACTTGCAGGTTTGTATCAGGCCTTGCACTGGCCTTTCTGCACAGTATGGATCAGCAGTAAAGCAATCTGCTGGAAAGCCACTTCTGCTCCCCTTCTGAAATTTGGAAGTGCAGAGGTTTATTACCAGTGAGTGCAGTGGCTCTGGAATGAGAGTTGAGAAGCATGGACAACAGTGAGCTCCTGTATCAAGCACATGACAGTCACACAGCATGGATGGGGCCCTCTGAGACGCGCTGCTGTCAGAGGTTCTTGGCTGGTTTGGTGGAGCACCTTCTACCCCTGCCCTTGAGGCTACTGCAAGCCTGAGATTCCCTATTCCAATACATGACACTGATGTTTCAGGGCAAGCTTGCTGCTTCCACTTCTCTAGTTCTGGTGCTCAGCAAATGCAGCTTCTACTTCAATAAAAGGAAGTTTGGCCATTGCTACTCAATTCTGTTTCAGCTCTCTTGCTGGTACTGTAGCTAGTTAAGTGGGAAGCAATGTGTTTGCTCTCTGCATGGATTAAGTATTCTAGGATGTCCTTCCTGTAAGAGACTGGGGAAAAACAAAACCCCAGAAAACACAAGAACCCCCCTGCTGTCTCAACTCATTCCTCAGAAGATCACTTCAGACAGACTACAGTTTACAGATTAAAAGTGTTCTGTAAGGCAGTGAGTCCAATCTATGTTTCTCCTTTATAGCATACTCCCTGCAGCGTCTGCAACCTAAACAGCATCATGATGGTGTATCATTATGATAATCAAATCACTCAGTACCAAGCCAGAGTAGTTCTACAGTCCAAACTCCCTGAAATACAAAGAGCAAATCCAAGAGGATGCAGACCAAATAGAAGGGAAGCAATTGCACTGATCATACAGAACCAGTGTCCCAGAATTAATGCCAGAACAATTCCACACTGACAAGCTTTAATTTGGATTACAGAGAATCAACTGCCTGCTGGAAATGAAGGTCCTTCCCTAACACAAGGCATGAGAGAAAGGAGGGGAGGAAGGGAAGAGTGGCAGAGGAGGATATTTGCACCAGTACAGTCCTCTGAGATAGAGAAGTCTTGTTTTGCACTGACTGGAAGTCTATAATCATGCTGGCACCAGAGGAGCTACACTCCTATAAATCAGGGCAAGCTCCCTCATTGCAGCAAATGAACCAGAGCAACTCTACAGTCCTGTTTATTAGACCTCAGCAGAATTTATTGCTCCACATCTATTAAGCCCCAAATCTCAAAACAATTACAGCCACTTGTTCCTTGCTTTGGGAAATGATACATCAAAAAAAGCTTCAGACAGTAAAACATTCTGCAAACATTATTTCCTTGACTGGAAATGTCAACAGGGACTGCAAGACCCCACTGTCAGCATGCCAGTCAAGTTACTGCTCCTGTACAGGATCTGTGACCCTGAGCTTTATGGCTCATGGCATCTGTGCATTATCTCTAGAGGGTGTTCCTGGTGTAACTGCAGCCACACCAACCCTCACTGGCTACTTCCCTCATTCGAATAGCAACAGCACTTGAATTAAAACCCTACAGAGCTCAGCTTTTAGTGAGATGCTGTTGCATTGTCACATGTGTTAGAAGGCATTTTTTGAGAAGTCTGGAGGACTATTTGCATTTCAGGAGTTTGGACACGTTGTTCTAAGAGTCTCTGTAGATTTACATGAAAAGGATGCTTCAAGTCACTGGACTGTGTGATGTGTTCTGGCAAGAGAGACCACTTGACCCTACCAGAATAAATAAGCCTGAAAGGAGCACAAACAATTCCCAGGCAGATGGGCTGCTTTTTAATAAATGTATTATTTTATAACTGATCTTTGCAGACACTCAAAGCCTTTTAGGGGGAAGGGCTGTCTTTAGAGTTACAGATTTTGTCTCCGCTCAGCTTTTCTGGAGACACCTGCAGAATCTGCTTGGTAAGGGTGCTAAAGGCTGAAAACTGTTTCCCAGCACAAAAATGGACAGAGAAGTCCATTTACCCCTGAAATGCTGTTTCAGTCTGTCCCACTGCATTATTAGCCAAGTCCTTTTCTATTACTGAAAAGTCACTTTCTTGTGTCAGGACAACAGGGAACAAAGTTTTGCTTATGGGGAAGCCTGCAGCAGTCTCTTGTCCTGGGAAGTAAGACCTGAGTCCTGGCAGGAGCCTGAGGAGACCAGTTACAGTGACTGTCATGCCACCTGAAGTCAGTCTTTCAAGCCATACCCAGACTGTGCCCAGCATACCTAGAAACCAACAGGCTAATAGAGAGTTCTGCTGATAAGGACCTAACAGAGATGGTAAAACATTACATTTATTCCCTTGGAATGCAAAAGGGTTTGGGTGGTATTTTGGGTGTGTTTTAGGGTTTTTTTTGGTGTTGTTTTGGTTTTTAACTTTTATTTCCTTGGTGCTCTTGATGCCAGATTAAGAACAGAACGCCCCATAACAGCGAGTCCCAGAATGAGGTACAGACAACAGCAAGCCTCTTCACTGAGGTTCTTCACCAAGATGCATGTTTCTAGGGCTGTCAGGGATGTCTGCAGTAGGCAGAGTATTGGAGGAAACTGCTGATTGCTCTCAGCACCTCTGCAGTGTGTCATCAGTGAGGAGGGCTGATGGATGACGTCCTCAGAGATGTCAATCACTGAGCAATCACTGCATTGGTTTGATGTGATGTGGTACCTCTCAGCTCTAACTGCAGCTACATGCAGCAGTAACAGACATCAACCTGCTGCAAGATGGGCTAGCAGTGAATCCCCCTGCCCTGGAACAGGGGCTTGATCTTTGCTATTCCTATTAAGAGAGCACTTCAGCACACACTGCTCCCCCCAGTTCTCTGCTACAGCCAGCAGCAAGGGAACCTACAGGAGCTGCTGCTGTGCCCCTCTCAGACCTTTCACTTCAAGAAACAATATCCACAGAGAAAGGGAGAAGAGACCCAAAACCCCCACACCTGCCCTGTTCTGACCTCTGTCCCTCTATCAATAAGGGCTGGAGGTTCCCAGGAAAAAGATTCAGGACAATTTGCTAGATCTTCCTCTTTACAACCCCACTCTTCAGCATTAAAAGGACAAGGAAGGGGTTTTGGGCTAGTGCAGCAGTATTGCATGAGCCTGCCCCAGTACCCTGCTACATCACTGAACAAGTACAATGCTGCAAAATGCAAGGAGACAGGAAAAGGGAACAGGCAGGACAGGCAGTGTTTGGGGGACACAGATCACTAAAGCCTAACTCTCACAGGGGCAGAAGGCAGAGGAGAGAAGGCAGTTTGAATCGAAGCAGAAGAGTAACCTAGAAGGTAAAGGGTCAAGTGGAGAACAAGCAAAAGGGAGCTTGCTTCTAAGTGCAATAGGACACAAGGATTACAGGGAACATTCAATGTCAGAGTTACCTTGCACTCAGACATGGAAGTCCTGATATTAGTGACCCCAACTCCTGCCTTCCATGAGCACTGGGGACACAGTGACAATGGGAGCACTTCTCCAGCCAGACATGAGAATATAAGAAGAGGAGTCTGAACTAACAACTCCCCAAGTCTCTATCTTGATTAAACCAAATCAAAACAGAGTTCACTCAGCTGATCTCCCAGTCAGTGTGCATATAAGACAAATGAGACACACGCACAGTTTAGACCTTGTTGCCAGAGCTCATTCCCCCATCCCTCCTCCTCTATCTAGAAGCAGAGAAAGGGTCCTCTAGTGACCTTAAATCAGGTACCGAGGCTTTCCCAGCTCCTGCAGCTCAAGCAGCTGCCCTGACTCTGATCAGCCAGTTCTTCTGTTCAAGACTCCTCCTTTTATGAGATCCTGGCAGAGGTGGTTCATTGGACAAGGGACTCTTGTTACTAACACAAGAACTAGGCAGCAGAGGTGAGCTGCAGAACAAAGTAATGGAGGATGGGACACAATGACTCATGCAGTGCAGGGAGAGTGCAAAACGTACCGTGGCTGCCAGTCCTCAGGGGTCACTGATAGTGATTCTGAAAGACAACATGAAATCAACATGGCAGTTCAGACAGTTCAAGGCAGAGGCCACACAGACTGTCAGGAAGGTGGAACAGAGACACATGCATGCGCAGACACACATTCACACACCTCCCCACAGAACACAGCACAAATGTGTGCTGCTGGGCAGGACTTCACACACAGCCATGGCCTCATCTTTGCACACATCCAGAACCCTGCTGTGCACAGGGGTGCATTGGAAGCTGTTTGTTTGCACATCCACTGGCCATTGCTCACTCACCTACCAAGTCCACTCA